CATGATTACTGGGTCAGAGTTGTCATTGTTAATCTATTAATTAATTGAAATATAGCTGAAAAGAAACTAAAAATATATAAAGAAGAGTATTAGATGAAAAATGTTAACTTATTTTATTTATTAGTTGCAAAGGCAACATTTCTAATTTTCGTTTAAGTTGAGGAACTGAAATTAAGACTAAAAATGAAATAAAAATAACTTGAAAACGAATAGATTTAGAAAAATAGAATATAGTAAATAGAAAACAGAATTTAAAAAATAATAGTAAAATGTCAAAAGCACATGAAATTACTTAAACTGTCATGTAACCCCATAATGTGTGACGCATAGTAAATAAAAGACTTGGCACACAGGGAGTTATGCAGTTGCTGGGGTATCCTGGGTGGTTTCCAGAATGTTGCTATATATTTGCTAGCCCTTTCTGGTGGTAACCAGGGAGTTACTATGCGGTTGCTAGGCTATTCAGATTGGTCACCTCACCAGGGAGTTATTTTGTGGTTGCTAGGCAGCTATGGTTTGTCACCAGATAGTTGCTATGCAGTTTCTTGGCTTTTCAGGTTGATCATAAATACTATGCATTTGTTAAGCTGTTCTGCTGGGTCACCAGGGAGATGCTATGAGGTTACTAGGCTGTTCTGCTTGGTCACTAGAGAAATGCTATGATGTTGCTAGGCTGTTCTTCAGGGTGATCAGGAAGTTTCAAGATTGCTAGGCTATTCAGATTGGTCACCAGGGAGTTATTTTGTGGTTGCTAGGCAGCTACAGTTTGTCACCAGGTAGTTCCTATGCAGTTTCTTGGCTGTTCAGGTTGATCACAAAACTATGCTTTAGTTAAGCTGTTCTGCTGGGTCACCAGGGAGTTGCAATGAGGTTGCTAGGCTGTTCTGCTTGGTCACTAGGGAGTTGCTATAAGGTTGCTAGGCTGTTCTGCTTGGTCACCAGCGAGATGCTATGCTGTTGCTAGGCTGTTCTTCTTGGTAAACAGGCAGTTGCTACGAGATTGCTAGGCTGTTCTGCTTGGTCACTAGGGAGTTGCTATGACGTTGCTAGGCTGTTCTGTTTGTTTCGCCAGTGAGTTACTATGCGGTTGCTAGGCTGTTCTGTTTGGTCTCCAGGGAGTTGTTATGAGGTTGCTAGGCTGTTCTTCTTGGTCACCAGGGAGTTGCCATGAGGTTAATTCAGCATTCAGGTGTTTAATCACAAATACTATGCATTTGTTAAGCTGTACCGCTTGGTCACCATGGAAATGCTATAAGGTGTTCTGATTGGTCACCAGGGAGTTGCTATGCAGTTCATGTGCGGTTCCTGGGCTGTTCTGCTAGGTCACCAACAAGTTGCTATGAGGTTAATAAGCTGTTCTGGATGTTTACCAGGGAGTTGCTATACAGTTGCTAGGGAACAGTTGCTTAGTAGCACAAATGCAGTAGGATGACGCACTTTAATACTCTCACTGTGGAATGATAGTACTAGCGCTGCACTAAGAAGACACTGTAAATATGTCTCTCTCTTTTTATCACTAAAAATATCTGTATTTCATCTTTAAAGCACCAAGGTTTTGTAACACGACACGTCATACAGTCTCTTGAATTGGCAAACACGCATCCACCCACAAATTCCACAACTCCCAACAGACGATTCCACATCCAAGCACCTCCTCGTTCCAGCAATACGACAGAGAGAGCAGGTAAGATCTGTGTGTCGTCTGGTTGACAATCACAGGAAAGGGAGGGTGTGTGTGTGTGAGCTGCCAGGGTCTCGCTCTCTCGCTCTCTCTGCTCCTGTCGAGCTGCACGTAGATCAGGCGAGCGAGCGCTCAGTGTCTGGCCGCCACAGGCCTTTTGTTCTTCACGAACTAGACATGTCTATAGTATCTGACCCATCACAGACAGGCCGCTGATCTCTCTCTCTCTACTTCACACACACACACACACACAGTTCATCATTAGTTTACTAATGCATTAACTAACAACTGAGACTTAATTGTAAAGCGTTACTAATTTAACTACATGTTTGAAGTGCAGTTAACACACACACACGGACAGACGCACACACAAACGCACACAGACACACACACCACACTTAATTTATTTAAACAAGGTCATGCTACTGATTTTCAGTTTTTATCTATATTACAGTAAATATTACAAAATAAATTCTAGAAGAAAACAATATTTACTGTTTTCTGCCCATACACTATAATAAAGTGAGACTATAATAAAGTGATATCTGATTTAACGAACTTCTGGGTTAAAGTACAGTTAACTAAACACACACACACACACACACACACATACGGAAACAGACAGACTGACTCTGACCTTATTGGAAACGGAGCTAATTTTGTGGGAATAACGGGAAGAGTGAACGTGATAAAACACACACACACTATCACTTCCTTCAGCTCAGTATTAAAGACAATTAAAGTTTACAATGCACAGAAACATCCGCTCACAATGACACACACATACACACAACAACACACAATATAAACACACCAGCCAAACACTCAGATAAAGAGTGTGTGTCTGTGAGAGTTTGTATATTTGTGTGTATGTTAGTGTGAGTGAGTGTGAGTGCATGCATGTGTGTGTCTGTGTAAATGTGTGTTGTGTGTGTATGTTAAGCCTAGTTCACACTACGTGATTTTAAGCCCGATTTAAGCCCGATTTGCAAATCGTTGAGTCGCCGACAAGTCAGGGTGTTATCGCGTGCAAATCGCGGGCGATTAGCGGACGATTAACGCTCGCCAAGAGCCAACAACGCACCAAAGACAGCTCGCAGACACCTCGCAGACAGGTCACCGAGCTCAGAAAAATATCTAGCATGCTAGATATCTCGAGCAGTCGCGCGACTCAATCTCAGTGATGTCATGAGTACAGCCAATCATAGCAACGCATGGGTTGAGGACACCAGGTAAATCTTACTTTTTCTTTTCTTTTTTGTATTTTTTTTTCTCAGAGCAGATCGTCGAGCAAACAGTGTGCAGCACTAGTTTCTGTCTGACGTCCATATTCGTGTGTTATGTTCTTCTCTGCAGTTTCGCGTCATTTCTGGTTCGTTTTATTGCGTGGTTTTTCGTTCCAAAACATGGTTTCTAGACCAGATAGAATCGTGTTGTTGTCAACTCGTTATTTGTTTGATTATTTTCAGGATTTAGACCGTACTATAGTACTGAAACAGCTCTCATTGAGTCACAAATGATATGCTCTTATCATCCGATCGTGGTTGTATCTCTATGTAGTGCGTTGTTAACTCGTGTAGTGAGTTATCCTGTTGTGGATCAATCACGTTGTGTTGTGTGGTGTGAACAGCTAAACAACTTGAACACTCATGATTTCACTGAGAGCAAGTCATGTAGTGTGAACTGCACAGTTCAGCCAGACATTTTAAAATCATGTAGTGTGAACTAGGCTTTAGTGTGTGTGTGCATGTGTGTGTGCCAGTGCCACAAGGCATTTGTATCTGGCAGATATTGTTGATCAGGTGACAAACAATAGAGCAACACTTCAAAACCACTCGCCTGACACACAACAAACAAGATATCAGCGCAGTCATGGATTAGAAATAACAGAAATAATCTTAAACTCAGACTCATAATAATTATGAGTGTTTTGATTGATCTGTGTTCCTCATACTGTTTTATGGATTGTGATGATGATTTTACATAATAATTATTACAATAAATTTAGTTTAGTATGTATATATAATACCTGACATTTTCACTACCACTCAAAAAGTTTGAGCTTAGTACATTTAACATCGTTCTTTTCTGACTTTGCTGTCGGAGGAAACAGGAACTCAAATGATATTTCTGTGGTTTCTCGTGTGTCCCTCTTTAGAAGTTTACCCCAATAGAACTTTAGTCCACGCTCCAATTTTAACGTTCACCCAGTAAACGAACACAACCACAGAGAACAAGGAGAAAGACAAGTAAGAAAAATGTCTGACATCACACACACTACACCCAGTCTGCCAGCACCACGTAACAGACAAAAACACACACAATGTCTGGTTTACTATCTTTGTGAGGACTCTCCATAGACTTAATGTTTTTTATACTGAAAGAAAGAAAGAAAGAAAGAAAGAAAGAAAGAAAGAAAGAAAGAAAGAAAGCCCTGCTCCACGGTGGTTTATTAGTGTCATCCTGACAGCACTAGATGGCGTCAGCGAGCAGAAACAAACTACAGCATTACTTTACCATCACTGGCATACTGTTATAGTTTATATATATATATATATATATAGAAATTCTGTTCTCATATTAATTTGAAACTTTTAGTAATTTTGCGGTTTGTTTTGCTATTATTGTTAACGTAAAAATACAAACATTAAAATGCAGATAGTGCTGATGTGCAGGTTAGTATCTAGCCAAATTAATGACTGAAATCACCGTAATTTATTGTTCATGCATTTTCATGTTCATACATTTATGAAAAGCTGTTGCAATGTCATGATCTCACACACTATTCAAGAAGAACAGAATTAAAACACTTAATTCTGTGTTTGCATGTAGAAAAACTCAATTTACCTCGAAGTAGACATACTCACTAGCACTAACTAGATCCTTCTCAGTGTAAACAACCCATTACTATGCAGAAATGACCATCCTACAGTAACACACACACACACACAGTGACGTGACCACTAGATGTCAGTGTCGGATCAGTTAAAATAAAACCCGTTTCAGTGTCTGGACACCAGAGGGAGCCACACACACACACCACACACATTCATTCAGACAGACAGACTCTCACAGACACAGACTCTGATAGACAGATTCTCAAACTCTCTCTCACACATACACACACATCCTCACACACACAAACACAGACACACACGTATTGTGTCGTCACCACTAGATGTCAGTGTCAGATCAGAAACACAGCAGAAAACATGAGATCTCATGAGATCTAAACTGTTTTCTGAGTTCAGAATACGTGAACTGCAGCAGTGATCATTAACACTCATCCTCGAGTTCGTCTTGAGAAAGAGGATCTTACCGGCAGGCTGGGCAGGAACTTCTCCATGTTTTCCAGGTCAATACCATCATCATCATCATCTTCGTCATTCTCGAATTTGCCCTTTATCATCCTGTGAACACACACGGCAAAATTACTCTGTGGGCTTGTTTTTGTTTTTCATTTTTGATCACACAGAAGCAATCAAATAAGTAAATATATTAATTATTATTTACATTTTAAGTTTTCATACTTTTTTTTTCCTCACACTACAATAAATAACTAGTCCATAAACCTTAAACCTGTAAAGCCTGACATATTAAATAGGCAGGAAAAAAAACAAACATATTTTTTAAAGTTATTCTTGCATACACTTTATAAAACCAGCAAAAAGGATGTTTTTACAATTATATTAACAATTATATTAAAGGTTGTATCAGCGATTTCAGGCCCAAACTAAAAATTATCACATCATCTAATCTTTCCTAATGATCCGCTAGCTGCCCGCCCCATAAGCAGGCTGTCAAAAAAACGCGTCTTTGTAGGCAGCCTAGGCTATGAGATCTGCACATAAAAACAAATGGGAACAACCACCACTCAAAATCAAAATAAACAGTGTTCTAACCAATCACCGACAGGGGGGCGGGTGCTGTTTGTTTTTGCACTCGTTCACGGCGCCTACAAGTGTGGTCGGAGCTTAAGAATAGGTCAGCGTCTATCAACCCTATGCTATCAAAGGACCAGATACATTTAACATGGAAGAGGCAATCCCCAAGAAGGAGAGGAGGATTGGGGCGAGGGAATATCGTCGTTTTTCGTAAAAAAAAAAACAAATAATAATCGGGAAGGCTTTTAAGAGGTAGAGAGAACTCAAAGAATTGAAAATGTTCATATCGAATGCTGAGGTTGCACTGTTTCTTCTGGACAGGTGAGTAGCTTCTATTGCTGACTTTTTTTATATGTGAACTGTGTGTGAAAATATAATTCTTTAAAAAATATGAGTGAAGCTCGAATAAACTTGGCTAGCTCTAGCAAATATCAGATTGAAGGGATTTAGTGTGTGAGTTGCGTTTGTTATACGTGTCTACTTTGATTTGTAGCTATAACATTGTACTATTTAACAATAACACTAGCCTACGTTCAGGACTAACGTTAGCCGAATAATAATAAAAAGCTGTTATAATATTATTCCAGTAGCCATGAGTTTTCCCCATAACGTTATATCTGTAGCTATAGGACTGATTCTGGTACGTTTTATCATATTGCTGCTTCCAGTGAAGGAACAGCAAAACTAGCTGTATGATATGACATGGCTCGACTGCAGATTTTATATACATCATTATACTTTGTAATCCAAAGCAGCCAAGTTAACAGAATGAGCCATCATTGAAGTAGACCGTCAATCTGAAAATAGTGCGTTTTTGCACTTACAATAGTTGCATGATCGTTTTTTTCATGATGCACGAAACGGGAGGGAGGGGCGAGCTAAACTTGGTTTGTTTGGGATCTCGTTTGCCCCAAACACAAACAGAAGTGACGTCACCCACAATTGCTGATACATTAAAAGGCATTTTACTTAAAAAAAGTCTAAAACTATCAATTTAGATAGTTGATCATGTTAATCCTTTAGAGGCCTTAGAAATGTGTGTGTATCAAATATGACATAGAAGACATTACTGTGTTAAACTCCCTCAATGCATGCACTCATACAGTGACAGCCATCCTCCAGCAGAGGTCAGTAGTGAGCAGAGCGCCACACAAACACACGGCCACACCCCATTACAGCACAACAATACTGAACATTAAACTATGGTGTTCTTCAACATTCAAAACTCCCTCACATGCACATTTACATGTCAGACTGTGGCTCTGCCGGCAGCCCTGTGTAAATGTGAAACGCTTCAGACTGTATGAGTCTGATCTCAGGTCAGTGTAATTGAGAGGAGCGTCTCTCTCACCCTTCTCGGTCAATGTGCGGGAGGTGTTTCGGTGTCCCTCTGTACGGCCTCCTGTGAAACTGTGAGAAATCCAGTTTCTCCGGCTGCATGTCCCATGTAGCGCCTCTGTGAACACACACCACTCAAAAATCACACACCCGTAGGAATCCTCGACTATAGGAACTATAGATTTACACTTGAACTAGGTCATATTCTACCCTAAAAACACTAGGAAAAAGTTAATTTTGCTTACAGAAAATGTATCATGACTCGTGATTTGATGACATGCTCATACTACTATCATAATACTATATCCTTTCAAACATTAAACCACCAAAGCACAGGTTACAGAGAAGAAGAGTATGGGAAGAAGAGTATGGGTACACGAGTTTTGGAAAAGGAGTATGGGCAGAAGAGTATGGGAAGAAGAGTATGGGCAGAAGAGTATGGGCAGAAGAGGAGTATGGGCAGAAGAGTATGGGAAGAGGAGTATGGGAAGAAGAGTATGGGCAGAAGAGTATGGGAAAAGGAGCATGGGCAGAAGAGTATGGGAAGAGGAGTATGGGCAAAAGAGTATGGGAAGAGAGTATGGGCAGAAGAGTATGGGTAGAAGAGTATGGGCAGAAGAGTATGGGCAGAAGAGTATGGGCAGTAGAGTATGGCAGAAGAGTATGGGCAGAGGAGTATGGGTAGAAGAGAACAGGCAAAATAGTATGGGCAGAAGAGTATGGGCAGAGGAGTATGGGCAGAGGAGTATGGGCAGAAGAGTATGGACAGAAGAGTATGGGCAGAAGAGTATGGGAAGAGGAGTATGGGCAGAAGAGTATGGACAGAAGAGTACAGGCAGAAGAGTATGGGAAGAGGAGTATGGGCAGAAGAGTATGGGAAAAGGAGTATGGGTAGAAGAGTATGGGAAAAGGAGCATGGGCAGAAGAGTATGGGAAGAGGAGTATGGGCAAAAGAGTATGGGAAGAGGAGTATGGGCAGAAGAGTATGGGCAGAAGAGTATGGGCAGAGGAGTATGGGCAGAAGAGTATGGGAAGAGGAGTATGGGTAGAAGAGTATGGAAGAAGAGTATGGGCAGAAGAGTACGGGCAGAAGAGTATGGGTAGAAGAGAACAGGCAAAATAGTATGGGCAGAAGAGTATGGGCAGAGGAGTATGGGCAGAAGAGTATGGGAAGAGAGTATGGGCAGAAGAGTATGGACAGAAGAGTATGGGCAGAAGAGTATGGGAAGAGGAGTATGGGCAGAAGAGTATGGACAGAAGAGTATGGGCAGAAGAGTATGGGAAGAGGAGTATGGGCAGAAGAGTATGGGAAAAGGAGTATGGGTAGAAGAGTATGGGAAAAGGAGCATGGGCAGAAGAGTATGGGAAGAGGAGTATGGGCAAAAGAGTATGGGAAGAGGAGTATGGGCAGAAGAGTATGGGTAGAAGAGTATGGGCAGAAGAGTATGGGCAGAAGAGTATGGGCAGAAGAGTATGGGCAGAGTAGAGTATGGGCAGAAGAGTATGGGCAGAGGAGTACGGGCAGAAGAGTATGGGAAGAGGAGTATGGGAAGAAGAGTATGGGAAGAAGAGTATGGGAAGAAGAGTACGGATACAAAAGTATGGGAAGAAGAGTATGGGCAGAAGAGTATGGGCAGAAGAGTATGGGCAGAAGAGTATGGGCAGACGAGTATGGGAAGAAGAGTATGGGAAGAAGAGTATGAGCAGACGAGTATGGGCAGAAGAGTATGGGAAGAAGAGTACGGATAGAAAAGTATGGGCAGAAGAGTATAGGAAGAGGAGTATGGGCAAAAGAGAATGGGCAGAGGAGTACGGGCAGAAGAGTACGGGCAAAGGAGTATGAGCAGAAGAGTATGGGTAGAAGAGAACAGGCAGAAGAGTATGGGCAGAAGAGTATGGAAGAGGAGTATGGGCAGAAGAGTATGGGTAGAAGAGAACAGGAAGAAGAGTATGGGCAGAAGAGTATGGGAAGAGGAGTATGGGCAGAAGAGTATGGGTAGAAGAGTATGGACAGAAGAGTATGGGCAGAAGAGTATGGGTAGAAGAGGAGTATGGGTAGAAGAGGATTATGGGCAGAGGAGTATGGGCAGAAGAGTATAGGCAGAAGAGTATGGGCAGAAGAGTATGGGAAGAGCAGTATGGGCAGAAGAGTATAGGCAGAAGAGAATGGGCAGAAGAGAATGGGCAGAAGAGTATGGGCAGAAGAGAATGGGCAAAAGAGTACGGGCAGAGGAGTATGGGCAGAAGAGTACGGGCAGAAGAGTACGGGCAGAGGAGTATGAGCAGAAGAGTATGGGAGAAGAGTATGGCTAGAACAGAACAGGCAGAAGAGTATGGGCAGAAGAGTATGGGCAGAAGAGTATGGGAAGAGGAGTATGGGTAGAAGAGTATGGGTAGAAGAGTATGGACAGAAGAGTATGGGCAGAAGAGTATGGGCAGAAGAGTATGGGAAGAGGAGTATGGGCAGAAGAGTATGGGCAGAAGAGTATGGGCAGAAGAGTATGGGAAGAGGAGTATGGGTAGAAGAGTATGGGCAGAAGAGTATGGGCAGAGGAGTATGGGCAGAAGAGTATGGGAAGAGGAGTATGGGTAGAAGAGTATGGAAGAAGAGTATGGGCAGAAGAGTATGGGCAGAAGAGTACAGGCAGAAGAGAACAGGCAAAAGAGTATGGGCAGAAGAGTATGGGCAGAGGAGTACGGGCAGAAGAGTATGGGCAGAAGAGTATGGGCAGAAGAGTATGGGCAGAGGAGTACGGGCAGAAGAGTATGGATAGAAGAGTATGGGCAGAAGAGTATGGGTAGAAGAGTATGGGCAGAAGAGTACGGGCAGAAGAGTATGGGTAGAAGAGAACGAGCAGAAGAGTATGGGCAGAAGAGTATGGGCAGAAGAGTATGGGTAGAAGAGTATGGGCAGAAGAGTATGGGCAGAAGAGTATGGGCAGAGGAGTACGGGCAGAAGAGTATGGGCAGAAGAGTATGGATAGAAGAGTATGGGCAGAAGAGTATGGGCAGAAGAGTACGGGCAGAAGAGTATGGGTAGAAGAGAACGAGCAGAAGAGTATGGGCAGAAGAGTATGGGCAGAAGAGTATGGGTAGAAGAGAACAGGCAGAAGAGTATGGGCAGAAGAGTATGGGAAGAGGAGTATGGGCAGAAGAGTATGGGCAGAAGAGTATGGGTAGAAGAGAACAGGCAGAAGAGTATGGGCAGAAGAGTATGGGAAGAGGAGTATGGGCAGAAGAGTATGGGCAGAAGAGTATGGGCAGAAGAGTATGGGCAGAAGAGTATGGGCAGAAGAGTACGGGCAGAAGAGTAAGGGAAGAGGAGTATGGGCAGAAGAGTAAGGGAAGAGGAGTATGGGCAGAAGAGAATGGGCAGAAGAGAATGGGTAGACGAGTATTGGCAGAAGAGCATGGGCAGAAGAGTATGGGCAGAAGAGAATGGGCAAAAGAGTATGGGCAGAGGAGTACGGGCAGAAGAGTACGGGCAGAAGAGTGTGCGGAGAAGAGTATGGGAAGAGGAGTATGGGCAGAAGAGTATGGGCAGTAGAGTATGGGCAGAAGAGTATGGGCAGAAAAGTATGGGAAGAGGAGTACGGGCAGAAGAGTAAGGGAAGAGGAGTATGGGCAGAAGAGTATGGGCAGAAGAGTACGGGCAGAAGAGTAAGGGAAGAGGAGTATGGGCAGAAGAGTAAGGGAAGAGGAGTATGGGCAGAAGAGTAAGGGAAGAGGAGTATGGGCAGAAGAGAATGGGCAGAAGAGGTTGGGCAGAAGAGAATGGGCAGAAGAGATGGGTAGATGAGTATTGGCAGAAGAGCATGGGCAGAAAGAGCATGGGCAGAAGAGCATGGGCAGAAGAGTATGGGCAGAAGAGAATGGGCAAAAGAGTATGGGCAGAGGAGTACGGGCAGAAGAGTACGGACAGAAGAGTACGGGCAGAAGAGTACGGGCAGAAGAGTACGGGCAGAGGAGTGTGCGCAGAAGAGTATGGGAAGAGGAGTATGGCAGAAGAGTATGGGCAGAAGAGTATGGGCAGAAGAGTATGGGCAGAAAAGTATGGGAAGAGGAGTACGGGCAGAAGAGTAAGGGAAGAGGAGTATGGGCAGAAGAGTAAGGGAAGAGGAGTATGGGCAGAAGAGTATGGGCAGAAGAGTATGGGCAGAAGAGTATGGGCAGAAGAGTATGGGCAGAAGAGTATGGGAAGAGGAGTATGGGTAGAAGAGTAAGGAAAGAGGAGTATGGGAAGAGGAGTATGGGCAGAAGAGTATGGGAAGAGGAGTATGGGTAGAAGAGTGGGAAGAAGAGTATGGGCAGAAGAGTACGGGTAGAAGAGAACAGGCAGAAGAGTAAGGGAAGAGGAGTATGGGCAGAAGAGTATGGGAAGAGGAGTATGGGTAGAAGAGTATGGGCAGAAGAGTATGGGCAGAAGAGTATGGGCAGAAGAGTACGGGTAGAAGAGAACAGGCAGAAGAGTAAGGGAAGAGGAGTATGGGCAGAAGAGTATGGGAAGAGGAGTATGGGTAGAAGAGTATGGGAAGAAGAGTACGGGCAGAAGAGTACGGGAAGAGGAGTATGGGCAGAAGAGTATGGGAAGAAGAGTACGGGCAGAAAAGTAAGGGAAGAGGAGTATGGGCAGAAGAGTATGGGAGGAGGAGTGTGGGCAGAAGAGTATGGGTACAAGAGTGTGGGAAGAAGAGTATGGGAAGAAGGTGCATGTTGTGTTTTTAAATGCACACACTCAATCTCAGAGCAGATGCAGAGATGCATATAATGTGAAGCAGCGTATACGGTGAACTGAGGCGCTCGGAAACACTAAAAACGTGTAAATGAACACAGTGCCACTTTAGAACACACGGTGCATATATTTTTTTATTATTAAATCACAGCCTTTATAATGATTATGGTTTTATGTTAGTTTATCGTGCAGCCCTGCTATGATAATCATAATTTACACGGATAGATTTATTACTTGTGTGTGTATAAATCGTACCCATGAGAGTCCAAGTTAGCAGCCCAAATGTCCGTTCCCAGGATGTCCATAGAACAGTCCTTGTTTCCATTCTAAAACAAACACAGTCCAAAGGCAGAAACATTGTGGAAGTTTAAAAAAAGTACAATTCAGTGTATAAATTCATGCATGTGTTGTTTAATCTCACCTTTGCTGGAGCTCTGAACTGGTTGTTTCGTCCTCTGCTGTCTGATCTAGAACCAGAACCGGGCCGAGAACCTGAACTGGGTCTAGAGCCGGTGCTGCCATTACTACTGTGCTCCCAATCATCCTGAGAGAGAAGATGATTCATAGATACATTTACTAAATCATCCAACATCTATAGGATACATTTAAAAAATACATCTTTTCAAGTATTTTCAGTCTGCAAATTGTGATTTTTGGAAAAATTTCCCAAGTTTGCAGGACTGTAATATTTGCCTAAAACTTAAATAAATAAATAAAAATATAAAAATTATTTAAAAAAAAAAAAAAGAAGAAATTTTACTATTTTGGTCTGCCATTTTTAACAAAAACAAAACATTTTCATTTGCTGAAATAAAATACCTAAATAATACTATTTAATTTTTTTTTACTACAATATTTTCTTTCATGACTAAAACAAAAATCAAAAATTAAATCAAATAACAAAAATAAGTACAACTTATAAAACATAACCAACATGTTCCTACACTGGGAAATGCTTTCAGTAAGTTTCATTTTACATTAACTCTGGAAACTCGAAAATGCTGACACTATTTATAATTTCGGTATACAATTAATTTATAATTTATTAGAACTATATAGCAAATATCAAAAGCCACAAAATCAAGCGTACCACAAACACAAAGCTTGAAAACTAAACAAAATGTAAATTATACAAAAAAATATATACAGTATATATATGAAGAGTTCAGATGCAAAAGCCTCTAAATGCCATTTGAAATTTTCATCTTTAATGATGATTTTTATCAAACTTGTATATTTAAGTTCAGTAATTTCACTTAAATAACAATTAATAGGTAATTATCATTGCCATTTAAGTGAAATTACTGAACTGAAGTTTGATAAAAATCATCATTAAAGAAGAAAATTTCAAATGGCATTTAGAGGCTTTTGCATCTGAACTCTTCATATATACTGTATATATTTTTTTGTATAATTTACAGCGTCTGGTGAACTGTTTTGACTGAATTGAAATCTCATTTGACTTCCACAACATGCATGTTGAGGAAGTCAAATGAGATTTCAATTCAGTCAAAACAGTTCACCAGACGCTACTGAGCATGAGCAGAACCAAAGCACGTGACATGGGATTTAGGGCTTTCACACACAGTGTCAGCGACCTCATCGCAGTGACCTCAGAGCACAATACTGGCACTGTGTCATTCACAATGCCCTCTCTCTCTCTCTCTCTCTCTCTCTCTCTCTCTCACACACACACACACACACACACAGTACACCTAACCTTCTCATGTGTGTCATGTATCGTCATTAATATTTAATATACACACAAATTAACCGTATGGCTGACAGCTTTAGTCTGCTCCAGTGTCACTATGGAGGGAACATTCAGAACCCAGTGATGCATCAGTCTGGAAAGTCTATACAGTATGTGCGTAAGTGCGCAGAAACCTGTTAAAAGAATGAAAGAACTGCAGAAGATCAGCTCTTAAAGGGGTTTATTCTACTTTTTCACATGTTTAACTTTCTTCAGGTGTGTAATGTTGCTGTTAGAGTGCTGTTAGAGAGTTCATCTCTTTATCAGTGTCAGTGTTTCTGAACTGCTTAAAAGCTTCCATTGTAGTCTTCAGTTTCTTCTGGGAACCAACACCTCACAATATTCCTCAATTAAATAATTAATACGTAGAATAAAGGGGCAGGGCCTGGTTGAGTTTGTTAGTTGTGTGTTGAAACTCATGTTATGGTAAGGGGCGGGACATTTCCCAAACACAGTCGAAGCACTCGACTAATCACAACACAAGCTCCAGCAGACCAATCAGAACACAGTGTGCTTTTCAGAAGGAGGGGCTTCATAGAGACCTTTACTGACAGACAGGGAAGAGAGGCGCTGCAACAATGGAGAATGAGAGAAAAATAATGATGCATGAAAACTAAGTCCAGAAACAAAACTAAGACTTTTTAAGTCCTTTTTAAGGCTCATTCACACAAAGGATGATAACAAAAAAGATATAGTTTGATAAATGTACAAACCGAATTCCATAAAAGTTGGGACACTGTACAAATTGTGAATAAAAACAGAATGCAATGATGTGGAAGTTTCAAATTTCAACATTATATTTAGAATACAACATAGATAACATATCAAATGTTTAAACTGAGAAAATGCATAATTTTAAGGGAAACATCAACACATCTCAAAAAAGTTGGGACAAGGCCATTTTTACCACTGTGTGGCATCCCCTCTTCTTTTAATAACAGTCTGCAAACGTCTGGGGACTGAGGAGACAAGTTGCTCAAGTTTAGGAATAGGAATGTTGTCCCATTCTTGTCTAATAAAGGCTTCTAGCTGCTCAACTGTCTTAGGTCTTCTTTGTTGCATCTTCCTCTTTATGATGTGCCAAATGTTTTCTATGGGTGAAAGATCTGGACTGCAGGCTGGCCATTTCAGTACCCGGATCCTTCTTCTACGCAGCCATGATGTTGTAATTGATGCAGTATGTGGTTTGGCATTGTCTTGTTGGAAAATACAAGGTCTTCCCTGAAAGAGATGATGTCTGGATGGGAGCATATGTTGTTCTAGAACTTGGATATACCTTTCAGCATTGATGGTGCCTTTCCAGATGTGTAAGCTGCCCATGCCACACACACTCATGCAACCCCATACCATCAGAGATGCAGGCTTCTGAACTGAGCGCTGATAACAACTTGGGTTGTCCTTGTCCTCTTTAGTCCGGATGACATGGCGTCCCAGTTTTCCAAAAAGAACTTCAAATTTTGATTCGTCTGACCACAGAACAGTTTTCCACTTTGCTAGAGTCCACTTTAAATGAGCCTTGGCCCAGAGAAAACGCCTGCGCTTCTGGTTCCCGTTTAGATATGGCTTCTTTTTTGACCTATAGAGTTTTAGCCGGCAACGGTGAATGGCACGGTGGATTGTGTTCACTGACAATGTTTTCTGGAAGTATTCTTGAGCCCATGTTGTGATTTCCATTACAGTAGCTTCCTGTGTGTGATGCAGTGCCGTCTAAGGGCCCGAAGATGACGGGCATTCAGTATAGGTTTTACGGCCTTGACCCTTACGCACAGAGATTGTTCCAGATTCTCTGAATCTTTGGATGATATTATGCATTGTTGATGATGATAACTTCAAACTCTTTGCAATTTTTCTCTGAGAAACTCCTTTCTGATATTGCTCCACTATTTTTTGCCTCAGCATTGGGGGAATTGGTGATCCTCTGCCCATCTTGACTTCTGAGAGACACTGCCACTCTGAGAGGCTCTTTTTATACCCAATCATGTTGCCACTTGACCTAATAAGTTGCAAATTGGTCCTCCAGCTGTTCCTTTTATGTACATTTAACTTTTCTGGCCTCTTATTGCTACCTGTCCCAACTTTTTTGGAATTTGTAGCTCTCATGAAATCCAAAAGGAGCCAATATTTGGCATGGCAACTCAAAATGTCTCACTTTCAACATTTGATATGTCATTTATATTCTATTGTGAATAAAATATAAGTTTATGAGATTTCTAAATTATTCCATTCTTTTTTTACTCACAATTTTTACAGTGTCCCAACTTTTTTGGAATCGGGTTTGTAAATTATATTTAGTTTTTAAATATAAAAGAATAGCAGAGTCCACACCACAGCTATAACCATAATGGCACAGGGGAAAGATATCATCAGAATCACTTTCAGAACAATTTTTTCCCAACTAATGAACGATAAAAACACTGACAGCCAATCAGAATCAATCCTGCTTTAAAGATCCTGAGCATTTAAATCATCAAAACAAAATCAATAATTAAATCGCCACATCATGTAAATAATTAGATTAAAAATTGTAAAAGTTTGACAGCCCTAGTTTCTACACATCTTCAACACAAACACTGTGTCTGCACAGCTTCATCTATTCTAATTAGAGGAGTTTACTTTTGACGAGCAGCTTGTGTTGGGTGTGGACAGGGTGGTACAGAATAGTTATGGATCAGATGCACGCACACACACACACACACACACACGAAAACTCACTGGTTTGGACGAGCCCCTGTCCCGTGAGGACGACCAGCTCCCATCAATCTTATCACTGCAGTTTTCGGTCCACTGAGAGGGAGAGACATATACAGAGAAAGACAGAGAGAGTGATTGCTTATTTTGTCACAATTAAAGCCCGACCGATATTAGGCATTTTCCGAACTATCAGTATCGGCATTTATAACGGCGATAAATTAATATTTTTAAAAATTCATGTAAGGGTGGCAAAGCTGGCGCTGCCAATAAAGCTGTCAGTGAACACGCACACATAAAATGCACATTTCATACAAATTACATAAACATAGAGCAGTCTGTCTTTCGTTTTGAATTATTCTGCTTAAAAAAGTACACATTTCAATATAGATATATTTCTCAGGTCTATACGCTGAGTTTTCAGATAATATGCATCCTGATAAAGTTCCCTTGGCCTTTGGAATTAAAATATCCCCACATCATCACACACCTTCTACCACACCTAGAGATTGGCATGGTTTTACTTCAGTTAGCCTAATAGCTGGTTTGATTTGCATTGAAAGATGATCTTATGGAAAGTACCCCATGCCAATCTCTAGGTGTGGTGAATGGTGTGTGTGATGATGTGGGGATATTTTAATTCCAAAGGCCAAGGGAACTTCATCAGGATGCATATTATCCTGGATCCATGAAATAACTGGCTTTTAAAAATAAAAATCTGCCTGACTCTATGGGAATTTAACATAGGGGTGTCCTGACTTATGCACCCTGTATTTTAAGGAAAAACATTTATTTATTTATGATACATTATTCATTCACAAAGAAAATTTGTGTCCTTAAAGGTTGGAGTTTTCCTCATTTTTCTAATTAAGGTATTAAGATCAATATCCAAAAGATGATTTTTTATTCCCCTTTTTATGCAACTTTAGCATGGGTGTCCAAACTTATTCACATCACTGTATATATATATTGTAGTGTTTGAATAAAGGGTGGCAATCTTTCATAATCAACTGGATATTTTAAGGGGCTAAACATTGAGAAAATTGCTATATTTTTTATTAGTTTAAAAATAAAATAAAAATATCGGATTAATATCGGTATCAGCAAAAGCCAAAGCTGCGGCATCGGAAGTGAAAAAGTGGTATCGTGTGAGGTGTGGGATGGGGTCTGTTGTACCTGTGAGGTGTGGGACTGGATCTTGTCCACATCCTGCTCTGTGTCGGTCTTGTCGCTCAGGAGTCCCTGCACCTGGTACTCGAGCACGTAGCTGTCGATGAAGCGCTCCAGCTCCTCGATCTCCTGCGAGCGAGTGCTTCCCGCCTCTGACGACGCTGATGCTACCGATGAGCTCTCCATGGCAACCAGCCCACAGTGGGGGGAGGGGGAGCTGTGGGCGGGGCAAATACAAAAAGGAAGTTGTTAGTACTCTGAATAATAACGTGAATTGACTTTAAATGGACAATATACATTTTTTATAATATACTTATGTTAATTTGCAAATACTTTTATTATATAAAGTTAAGCAACATTAAGCAAAACATGGACTTTTTTTATGACATTAAAATGTACGACAGCTGTTAATGCTATGTTAAGCATAATAATATTTTAGAATGAAAATCATTCCGAAGTGATCAAAACTTTTGAACACAAGATGATCACAACTTCCCAAAATGTCCTGCAGCAGAGAATAAACATTGCCTGTTGACAGGCAGGACTGTGAGATGTCACTGGCTGCTCATGCTTTAGTCAGATCAGTGACATCGACCCCCGACTGAGACGCATTCGGACTGTGACGCCGCAGCTCAGCCACATCACCAGTCTAACTCATCAAGTCCTGTCTGCTTCTGTTTTACCAGTCCATCTGTCTCTCTTCTCATCTTTCACCCGCAATCTGTTTCTGCTCTCACTTTCTTTGCTCTTATACTATTATATTATTATTGTATATACAGTCAAAAAGATTGGGGTCAGTTAGATGTTTTTTTACTTTTTGAAGGAAATTAATGCTTGAATTTTTGAATTTATTTCAGGATAGCATATTACAAAAAAATGTATAAAGACAATGTCATAAAAGATTTATATTTCAAATAAATGCAGTTCTTTATAACTTTTTATCATGTGGAGTTTCCACACACATGTGAAGCTGCACAAGTGAGTGAGTGAGTAAGAGATACATTTAATATATGTTCTGTGTGTTTGTTCTATTATTTATATATAATATGTTGATGCTTTGGCAACATTGTGTTACACAGTCATGCTAATAAAGCTATATTGAATTGAAAATTGAAGAGAGAGAGAGAGAGAGAGAGAGAGAGAGAGAGAGAGAGAGAGAGAGAGAGAGAGAGAGAGAGTTAGTTAGTTTAATCTGGTCTTAAGTCACTACTTGAATATTGGCCAAGCAAAGAGGATTTACAACGGGAGCAGCACCATCTTACACTACACATTCAGAATACACACACACTCGAGATCTGCTCATATTTAAGATCATTTACTCAGTTTAAGCAACTGTTCTTTGTGCCACCTGTGATCTGTCAATTGATCCTTTGTTTAAAAAAATGCATCATGATGCCAAGCATTAGCACTAAAGCAACCAGAGATATAAAATGTCAAATAAATCTTGATATTAATCAGCCTTATTCAATCTACAATCTAACCTATATTTTAATCAGAAAGTCTAATGATTACCAAACAAGCTAGATAAGAAATGTTTAAAGCAAGAAAAAATCTAGTTAAAATAATGAGGCATTTTCACTCCATATTCATTGTATATACATATATAAATACATATCAGCAATATATTGGTTTGGGCAGCAGCTAATAAAAAAATAATTATCAGTTGAACACTAGAAATCACAAAGAAAATAGTAAAAAAATGTACATATTAATCTGATTATACAACATAAATGGTACAAATTTTTTCTCACACATAAATCAAACTCAAAATGAAACATGGTTAAATTCCTCCAATGAAACATTGAATTTTAATTGTAAGACTGATGCAGCATAAAGTGCACGGACACATTTTTACACTTCCACCAGAAAAAGCACTAAAGTTGCACAGAAAATACCTCATGTAGGAAACTAGATTATAGAAAATCTGTTATCCTTATCCATTCACAATACATAATGATAGTGATAGCAACAGTGCGGAGGTTTAAAAGTAAGCAGCACAACTGTTTTCAGCATTGATAATATTCATAAATATTTCTTGAGCAGCAAATCATCATATTAGATTGATTTCTGATGGATCATGTGAAACTGAAGACTGGAGTAATGATGCTGAAAATACAGCTTTGATCACAGGAATAAATTACATTTTACAATTTATTCAAAAAAAGATATTTTGAATTTTAATGATATTTTACAATATTACTTTTTTTTAATTCAATAAATGCATCTTTGGGGAGCACAAGAGGCTTCTTTCAAAAGTGCCATGCTTATAGGGTACTTTTTGTTACTGTTCCACATCAGACACTTTAGAGAATGTATGCAGGTGTGTGTGTGTGTGTAAACACTCAAGAGAGTCATTGAAAGACGATCACAGTGAAGTCAGTAGAGGAGGTCATGATCTCGAATCCTGCTCGCCTCATTAATGCTGTCCATCTGAATCTACTGTCAATGATAGTTCTCACGCTTCTAATCCTGTTTATCTGATGTGGTGATCTCCAATTCTTTCTGTTTTCTCCTCGGCTCAAGTGTGTATCAAGTCTTACAGTCATATTAGACAGAAAAGCTGATGTCAAAGCAGGCAGCCAATCACACACACAAACTTTTGAGTCGACATATTTCCTAATGAAACAGGAAGTTTTGCATCGCCCTTTATCTCGATTTACTACTTGCTAGTCTGTGGTTTCGGACTTTCGGGGGAGGGACATTCTCAGTCTAGAGAGCATTTGATTGGACAAAAATCTGTATAGTGCAGGATCAGTCACCAATATTTTCCTAAAAATAAATAAATGCGTGAAGAGATAAATTGTATGATGCAATGCAAGTTGCTTTACATAAAATCGAATGCATACTGTAAATGTAAAATGTAGACACTTCAGACAGCTTAACCCTCTGGCGACTAAGCCCTTTTTGGTTTGTTTTCGTAAATCGTTAACTGCTTGCCCAGGGTTCCCACACCTTGTTTAACATCAAATTCGAGGACCTTTCAAGGACTTTCCAGGTCCAATACCCTCAAATTCAAGGACTTAATGTGGGGACAAATTTCAAGTTACGTCGGTTACAACTAGGCAAAAAAAGCTTTTTTTGCATCTATTTTTTGGCCATATGAGATCTGATATTCCATTTGTCGTATTTATGTTTTGCATAAAACCGAAGAATATTATATTTGGTACATCCTCCTAATCCTAAAAAAAAATGATGATAATAATAAAATAAAATAAAAATGTGTCATGGTCCTGGAACTGATTGTGTCAACGTGACAACTTGATATGTGAATTTGCTTTTATTTAAATAATGTAGCACTTTTTAAAAAAAATTTTAAATGCGATAAATTGTGTACGACAGATAGGATCATAATTTATTTTGCATGTTTAATATTTATAAACGATAAATTAATAAAAAAACATTAATTATAATTAGGGATGTCCCGATCCGATCCACGGCATCGGTATCGCGCCGATACCGGCCCAGAACGCTAGATCGGAGATCGGAGGGGAGAAAAAAATATGAGCGATATCCAGTTTAGCGGCGCAGCCTGTCACGTGATGACTGTTGTGTTTACGCGCGTCAGAATCAAAATCCGTTGGCGGTCATTGTTTTTATGTCGACCGAGCATTCATCAAGAGAGTTACCGCTCTGTATTTACTCTGGATAGCAGAACAGCGGCGTGGGGATCATCGTCGCCGTATATTTGTGTCCACCGGACCCTTCGGAGCCGAACCGTTTGGCGAGTTTCACCATTTGCTCGCTCCAGGAGCTGCGCTGGATGACGGCCGCTGTCAGCGGTACTTCCGCCTGTCACGCGCCCAGTTTGATGACCTGTTGTCCCGCATCTGAGCGAGGATCACCCTCGCCCGGCCCCTCATCCATCTAATCTAGCTGTCATTTATTTTTGTTTTGATAATAAATAGAGCCAGCCTTCAAAAGATTTTTTTCTCTCTCTCACGTCCAGACACGAATTTATGCACATATGTTGATTGTCTTTACAACATAATACTATTTCTAGATATGGAATGAATAACATTCAATACAAAATGAACATGTCTCCATATAGAAATAATGTTTTAAGTGATGAAACATTTGCTTTGTTGTGCATAATCCCACCATGCATTTAGTCATATTAACAAAATAATTTATTGAAGCATCCAGACACTTCACCACGTGAGCAAGCAGCTAGGCTCCTGATTGGTTAACGCGGCGCGAATTCACGCCAAAGTTCAGCCAACTTGACGCGCGAATGAGGCGTATTTGCGTCTTCCGCGCCGCGCTCCACGCCTCATTCGCGCCGCAGGAATTTTTCTTGCATTGACTTAACATTGAAATCATTCGCGCCTGACGCCCTATTCGCATCCGGTGTGAACGTAGCATTAGTGCGTCGAAGTTGTGATAGCGCTGTCGGCTAACGCGAAATGTACTATTTACATTCCATGGATGTTTATTCATATTGTTTTGGACTAAAAACTTCTTCAAATTGGATTGTATGGACGCTTTACAGTGAAACCAAACCATTTTTGTTGGAATGTGGACTAACAGATGGCTAATTGGTGAGTTTCTTCCAGTTTGTGTTGGTTTGTTTTGGCTGTTGGTGGTCTGACAAAGAGACAGATTGTGCCCGCTGTGTTGATTGTATCTTAAAATGGTTTACGTCGTTCGAATCACGAGTTTCTCAGCTTTCCAAAGATATGTATTATGTTTACTTTTGTGTTTGTTTTGTTTTGTCTTTCACAAAGTTAAACCTATAAACCACCCTGTGGGCCGTATACGGCACGTCGGACCACGAAAAAAAAATATCGGACTAATATCGGTATCGGCAAAAGCCAAAGGTGCGGCATCGGTATCGGTATCGGAAGTGAAAAAGTGGTATCGGGACATCCCTAATTATAATTTATGAATTAATCTGTCAAATAACATCTACAAATATAATAGTTACCTGTCTACCAAGCTCTGATAATGTATATTATACTAAGAAATTATCAAGATTTAAAAACAAAAACCAATAGGCCTAACATATTTAAAAGCACGGATTTGTCTGTTACTGCAGCTGTCAGAAGTCCACCCCACCACGTGAGCAAATGAAACTGCAGTTCGCCTTACGTTCATCATTAGTTACAGGACGGACACCCATTGATACCTATTTTCCGATCTGTAGAGGACGTGAGCTCAACATGGTAAAAAAAAAAACGTGCATTACGCCCATTAACAGCACGTGTTCTCTAGACTCTG